GCCAAAGCTCTCGTAGAGTGAGGTCGGATAGGTGCCAGTACCGGAGTGAGTGCCAGTTGATAAGCTAGTTGGATAGCAGACATGACCCACTTAGAAATGCATTGAGCTAAGACCTGTAGGCCCTTTGAGGAGGCCTGATAGCTGATGAAAAGGCAAGAAGAGCAGCAAAAGTGCTTTGTGCAAGCTACATAAATGGCAAGGACATGCTGAACGTCCAAGGATGCGCTCCTGAGGGGTGGAAGGCGATGGAAAGAATGACAGAACAATGATTGTCTGGGAGAGGTGAAACTGAGAAACCACTTTTGGGAGGAGGGAAATGTCCAAGAAGAGGTGAACCTTCTCCGGGTCAAATTGAAGGTATGGATAGTCTGAGTGGAGAGCTGCTAGCTCACTGACTTGTCTGGCAAAAGTAACCACCCCCAGGAACATAGTCTTAAATGTGAGGAGACGGAAGTCTGTAAAACCATGGGCTTGAAGGGACACCACTGAGGAGGACACACAGAAACATCAGGGTACATATGAGTGAGGCTTGAGATTTTTGTTGGTGAGGTTTGGCTCGGTAAGGTTGTTGTTTATAGTAAGGCACATAAGATGTTTGTCTTTGAGGTTCTTGTTGAAATTGTTGAGGGCAGTGGCATTGATTGAGCTGAGGGCGTTGTTGGTATGTGAGGCAGACTCTCAAATGCCTGGCAGCTATCCCATTTTTCTGAACATTCTCAAGGATGTCATCAGTCTCGGCATTGAAGAGACCAAGTCCATCAAATGGGAGGTCTTCAATGCGCCTACACACATCCTCGGCTAGACCTGTAGTTCTAAGCCAAGAGAAACACCAAAGCACTATAGAGGTAGCTATTGATTTAGATGCAGCATCAACTGTGTGTCTAGCAGATAGCATTTGTTGTTTCTCCACCGAAAGACCCTCTTGGTGAAAGGTTTGTGCTAAGACCCTTTTATCTTCAGAGAGAGCATCAATAAAGGTAGACATATTGTCCAGAGAAAACGTTGGTAGGCGCCCATAGCTCCCTGATAGTTGGCAACTCTCATGGTGAAGGAGGCAGAAGAGTATAGCCATCTGCCCATGGGGGTCAATGTGCTTGCTGTCTTTATTAGGTGGTATTAGTATTTATCTGTGTAGAGAGTGAGATTGTGAAGCTTCAATGAATATGGATTTGGGAGCTGGTTGTTTCTGTAAAAAGATTGTGCCTGGGTCATGTCTTTGATAAATGTTGTCTATGTGTTTTGACACCGAATGAGATGATGCTGGTTCAGTACTTGGTCTATGGATTTGTAGGTTGAGCGATTTGGCCATACGAATTATTAGTTGAGCATAGGTTTGAAAATCCTCTGCTGGTGACAGAGGGTCTGTCTCTGCTAGGTCAGAATCCGGCAATGTTAGAAGTACTGATGGCATTTGAGGCCTTGAACCATGATCAGATGGGTCAGCAACATGCCTCAAGTCGATTGACTGTCGATCGATATCGACGTCGAGTGGCTGGTCCTCAAAATATTGGTGTAGATGTTGAAGGGGCATCAGTGGACAGTGGTTAATATCAACGGTTGTCGATTGGTATTGACGTTGAAGATATGTCCAAGGACAGGGGGCGATATCGAGGGTCTTTGATCGGTATCAACATCGAAAGCGTGTGCATGGACAGGGGGTGATATCAAGGGTTTTTGACTGCAGCTGATATGGAAAGGTGTGTTGAAATGGAGGTTGCTGTCAGTGTTGAGAGAGCTGTCGAGGTGGTAAAGGCATCGATGGACCACACTGTAGTATGGCGGAATAGAGAGACGCCGGTGACGCTGAGCAGGATGAGCGCTCATGGTCATCCTGATGGACAGAAAAACAGTACAGTAACTTGCTGGTGGTGCAAACATGCCGGGAGCCGAGGAGTATTGATCGGCTTGCTTGGATCTCTTAGGTATCGGCAGATAAGAGGTGCCAGGTAGTCCTGGGCGATCATGGTAATAAGATTGCTTTGACACCAAAGGCTCTCTAGCACAGTGGTCCCCAACCTTGGGCCTCCAGATGTTCTTGGGCTACTTCAACTCCCAGAAATCCGGGCCAGCAGAGGTTGCGGTGAAGGCTTCTGGGAGTTGTAGTAGAAGAACATCTGGAGGCCCAAGGTTGGGGACCACTGCTCTAGTAGAGACAACCTGCGGGGGCAGCACTGCCAGACCAGGAAAAGCAACTGGCTGATAGTGCTTGGCGGGCTTCTCCGTTGAGCACCGATCGGGGCAAACAGCATTCCAATGATGGTGCTGAGTGTGATCTCTTTTCACGTGAAAAGGCAAGCTGAGGCTCATATTTGTTTATTTGTTTAAATTAATTGTTAAAATCGTAAACTTGTGATTTTATATATTTTATACTGTTTTGTTTTTATCTATGTAAGCCACCCCGAGTAGACATGGTCTAGAGGGGTTGGGTAAAAATCTAATAAATAAATAAATAAATGAATGAATGACCGAACGAACGAACGAACAAACAAACAAACAGACAAACAAACAAAGGCTTGGTGCCTTTGTTGATGTGATGGAGGCTGAAATGGTAGGCCTACTGGGGCAGAGTAAGGTACAGTTTCTGGTTGCGTTTCAGTGCCATGGATGTCTGGCATGGCAATTTGTGAAGATTCACTTGGAGAGCCCAAAGATTGTTGCGGGCTATCAGGGGAAGCTGTGAGTTCATAAACACGCTGTTCCTGTTTGGGAGATTGCGATGCTGAGTTTGATTAGATGGAAGTGCCTCCTCATCTGAAAGAGAAATGATGCAGATGAGGTCCCCGGACTCCAGTAGTTGTGGAGTCAGAGAAACGGTTTTGGAAGGCTTCGATTTCGAAGACTTAGCCTTCTTCGGAGGCACCGGTTCAGGTGCCGAGGAAGCGTCCATGGACAGTTTTCTCTTAGAGACTGTTTTCAATGTCAAGGGTTTCGCCATCAAATGTTTGGCTTTGTGTACTCGCGTGACTGTCGATGTCGAGGGCAGAGTAGGTTCTTGATGATTGGAACGAGATGGAGTAGCTATGAGTCTGATGTCCATTGATAATCAGTCGACTCACCTCCCAGTCCGAAGCCCTCTGAACAAGGCTCTTGGCCCCAGACACCTTTAGTCCTTTTGACTTTGCCTGACCCGCCATCTCCAGCCAAGCACTTCCAAACCTATGCTCAGCTAAATGGTTTGTGTGGCGAAGTCCCTAACTGTTGCTTCTGAGCTGGTTGATGATGCTGAGCCCTTGACACCAAGGAAGGTTCTGTTATAATAGATGGCTGGTGTCGAACATACTCAATGTCGACAGGGCCCTCGGAGTAGTATTGATGAGAATGTTTGATACTGAGGGGCTGGTAATGAAGATCCCAGGCCGACAAAGGTGCTGATGGTCCACGCTGGAGTATTGTGGAGTGGACTGAGATAGGTGAGGCAGATCTAGAAGACTGACCTATGTCCAGTGCTTGCAGGGGGGGGGGAAATATGCTGTTGGGGCCGAGGAATCTCTAGGAGCCCAATGAGATTCATTGGAGCCAGAGGTTAAGTGGCATTGAGCACTGGTGGGCGAGCTAGATGATGATGGCTCCACTTTGACGCTGACAGTTCCCCTCAGGGAAAAGAGCATTTGGACAGAGGAGACATGCAGAGAAAAGTAGCCGTCTGGTAACAGCAGGTGGGTACCTCTGTACAGCACTGTTTGGGGCAGAAGGGCTCCCAGTGACAATGCTGAGCTTAATGATAGTCAGGGTCCATGCAGACAGGCAAGCAGGAAATCTGGCAAAGTTGATGCCAGTGTTTATGAGCTGGAGGCAAAGGTCTGAAGCTCACAAGGCAGAGGAGCTGCTTGTACAGCGCGGTCTGAGTAGCCCAAGCTGTTATTCAAGATCATACTGGGGGATCGAGAAAGTGAAGGAGGGCTACCTGGAGAGGCAGTGAAGTGATCCATGTGGTGCTCCCAATCTGGAGACTGTGAGAGGTGTGGAGACAATTGGTGGGCCGGAAGGGCCTCGTCATCAGAGAGAGATCCAACACAAACTAGGTCCTCTGATTCAGCAGGAGGCCATGCAATCAGTGTCAAGCTGGCCTTGGAAGACTCCAGCATCGAAGGTTTTGGTTTTTTAGGTGGCAAAGGACCTGCAGTTGAAGATTGATCAATTGACACCTTTAGCTTCATTGTCGATAAGTTTTGGGCTGAAAGGCTGTTGATATCGGGGCTGAAGGCTTGATCTTGTGAGGGTGGGCCCGGCAGCCAAGGTCGATGTTGACGCCAGGGGAGCTGCTTGGTCCTCAGAATGGAAGGGGTGGCTGATGGATGCTGTTTGGTGGTCTCTGAAACAGCTTTGTCCAAACCTTTGCTTGGGGCACTGATTTACAGATGGGTTGTGCCATGGTTCCTCCTGGCTGGAGAGATTCCTCCCAGAGATGGGAGTTTAAGCTTGGAAAGATGGCTATGAAGGATTTTGTGTCTAAAATTCTTGCAATGAGGGCAGGAGGTTATTTGATAGGTCTCTCTGAGGCAGAAAACGCACTTGGAGTGTCCATTAGAGAGAGGGATTTTATTATTGCAGGAGATGCAACGTTTAAATAGGCCTGTAGAAACCATGAAGTATAACAACCGTGGGGGGGGGGGCTCGAACACAGCAGCCAAGGCTGGAGAGAGAAGAAAGGGACAAACAAAGGGAAAATCTAACAGATATGAGAAAGGTTAAAGGGAAGAAACAAAAACTTTTCTCCTTCTCTTTCCTGTAGGAATAAACTCACAGAAGCTGACAAGAGGCAAAGAACAAGACTCTCAACACGGGGGTTGAGAGAAAACTGAGGGGAGAGTCTTTGCGCCAAGGTACATATAGTGTGTGGGGGCTATACTAACATTTTTTTCTGATCACAGAAGCTCTAGAAGGTTCTGATGAGGTTCTGTGCATGCACGGATTACCCAGACTGCAATTGACAGAGGCCATGAAGAAGCATGATGTAATCTCTTAGAAACAGTTGCTACAATAATTGATGTATTACTTACCTAGGGTCACAAAGGAACTTGGTTTTTTCTCCTTCTTCTCTCCAGATCAGCCATTCTCGAAAAGATGGATGGACAAACATCCGGGTCATATCCCTGCGTTTGATAAGAAACATGGAGAGATTCTCCATCCTCTGTTGAAAGTCCTCCCATTCCAAGGTGCCTTCAATGCTCCCTGCATTGATGGCCTGAAAAATATGCTCATCAGTCAAAGGGTGTAAAGATGCCACTGCTACATTCAACAGAGGCATCACTCGGTCAAAGGAAGACTGTGTTGGGAACTTCATATTGCACTGGAGTAGGTATACCTCTGAAAGCGAGACAGGAACTACTTTATAGCTGGAACTTTTTAACACCAAATAGCCCTTCTCTATAAGATCAAATGTGAGCTTCAGGTACAGGTAAGATCCTTGACTCAGGGTTTTGAGATGAGAACTGAGTTTGCCAAAGGTTGTGTTGTCCATTTTGCCATTAAGAGAGATATTATTCTGTATTTCAGAACTGCTATGTATTCGGTGTAGGATATATGCTTGGAGATCCTGATCTATAGCTTCATTCTCTTCCAGTCTGTCCAAGAATATCCTATGGAAGGGCAATAACTTAATTATTTCCTAAAAGGAAAAGAAAAGAGTAAGAGTAAATTCTGGAGAACTAAAAAATAGCAGAAATACATTCAGTCTCCCAGTGACAATTGTGGCATGTTTTTATCTTCCAAATGGGATGGTTACAAGCCATGCACAGAGATATTGTTATATAAGCCCCAAATAGGGACACACCATATATATAATTTTTTAATTTATTTTTCAGCTGAAGCAACAAAGTTGTTTATATAGAATTCATGCAAAATTGTTGCTGCCCTCAGGCTAAGTCCAAAACTATATGTGATACAAATGTGGAAGGGACTCAGGGGTTGGGGAAGCAAACTCAGGAATTAGTCCTATGCTTCACCAGTGAAGTTCTGCTGAACATCCTTATATTTCTTTCAATTAAATTTAACATAATGTAAAGCCAGATTTTCAGCATAGATGAGACCACAACCAAAAGGCAGAGAAGCATACAGCAAAACAGATATATTCTGCCAAGTTTTGATGCTGGACTCCACCATGCAGGAGTTAAAAAAAAAACATTTTCAGAATGAAAACAAGAAATCATCCTCATAAGCTTTCACCCTAGGCCTGCTTAAAGCCAGCAACAGCATTTGAGTGGGAAGGGAGTGAGTGAGTCACTTTTATTATTATTTTAAACAGAAAAGGTTATTGGGGGGCTTAAAAAGGGCATGACCCAAAATAGCATTCAAATGGCCAATCATTTCCCTATGGAGACTTCTGGAGATGTGACTGGTCATTTTCCTGTCATTTAAGGGAGGGCAGGGGAAAGTCCTTTTGCTCATCTATGCTTTATTGGTGGGACTGCAATTAGTGCTTAAAATTATTGTTTCACAGGTTCTGGAAGCCAGAAAACCTTCAGATTCTATACCAAGAGAATAGCATTTTTCGGTGGGGGAAAAACCCATTCCTTTGAATATTAACAGTCTTTATTTCCTGAGGAATCGGACTGGTTCCGACAGCTTGAACATAGGCATGAAAATACTAAGTCTAAATGCAACCGTAACAGAGGTAGATGTCAATATCCTAATATTTTGTTAAAAATTATCAGGGTCACCTTAAATGAGGTTGCTACTTTAATATTACAGTGTTACTGTTTTAATAGCCATATGTATCCCCCCCCCCACTTCTCTCTCTCCACATACATGCCTCTGAAATTGGGCACAAATTATTTTTATTCAGACAAGAAGCCCATCAAAAGAGACTATATGAAATATATGCTACTACCATAGCAAAAGAAAGCCACTCCTATACTAATGTGTGGAAAAAGAGGTCTCCAACCTACCTGTAAACTTGTTCTAACTGTTACAATCAGTTTCAACCAGGATGGAAATTTCCCTATCATTTTGCTGAGGAACGACACTATTGTATCCCCATAATCAGGTTTATGAAATTCTGCTTCATTTAAGCCATCAATCAATATGATGAAATCTTCATTGGGGATCTTCCGCTCTGACAGTTTGATGGGAAAGAAGGAAAAACATTTGAACAAAAAATATTCAGTCCATGCTTTTAAAGGATGGAGTCACATGCTGCAATCATAGTAAACTCATGTCCCTCATTACCTTTGTGAAGGCTTTCCAACGGCTCTAGAACTCCCCTCCGGAAAGAAGCCAGAGGATCTTGAACACAGGATCGTAAGCTAAGCATGCTCTGCAAATGTGGCTCCCGCAACAGTTGCTCTCTGTATGCAACAAACTGGGGACAGCGGCAGAGTAGGGCTGCCACGTTGTGTACAAACTCTGGCACAAGGCAGGTGTAGGCATTATCTGCCTGGCAGTAGTGATAAGCAACAACCTACAAAAGAAAGAACCATCATTAGAAAAATGGAAATAGTATTTGGTTACCAATTGCACTCTAACAAGAAGAAAGATCCCATATTAAGTGCTGGTGACACAAAGACAAAGAACTGGGTGGGACAAGTCATTCACAGCAAATAATATGTCATCTGAAGAATTAAAACAAAGATTTTAATGATAGAAACAGACATAAACTTGTTTGCTAGAGACAGTGTTCGGTACTTGGTATTGCAAAGATAGCCCATAACTCTGTTTACTAGCAATTCTGGTAGCCAGGTCAAGTACCAAAACTCATACACCCAAAGCAACTTTGTAATTTAGGATATGACAGTACTACATGAAACAATTAAGAAGAATATAAGGGAATGAATTCTCATTTGCAACCATTATTTTTTCTTTAAAAATTGTTAAATTGGGAACCATGAAATGTCTTTCAGGTAAGACTAGCAGGCTTTTTGCTGTAAATAGCTACAGTGGGGTCTTGACTTGAGAACTTAATCCGTATTGGAAGGCGGTTCTCAAGTCAAAATTTGTTAATTTAGAATTTATAAGCAGAACAAGTTTGGCAGCTCCAGATGTACAGTATGTACTATTATGGTTCCTTATTCAAGGGTTAAGAAGGGCATATTACCAGATTCATTTAGTCTCAGTTTGTATTCTTTTGCTTGTTCTCATTTTTTGTAATAATTCCCAACAAACCCATTACTGTTCCTAATGTGCATGCTTCAATTCTTTAACACATATCTATGTATGTCCGTAATAATTTTCTTCATATTGTAATGAACTGTAAATATGGTCTGTGCTAGAGGAGGGAAATGCCTGGGCTAATGTGTTCTTCAGTTTTTAGATTAGTTTAATTTCAGATAGACATAGGGTAAAATAGTTCCTAACTCCAGTTTAATTTCACATTCCAATCCCATAAATTCTCAGTTGCTTTAAATTTACAGTATACATTTTGTGAGTTGGACACAATTACAAGTTGTTATTCTATTAGAACTGATTTTTCTTGGCTTACTTGAATAAGTCGTATAGTTTCTTGAGCTTGTCAAGACATCAGGTAAATACTACAAGTAGAATTTTCAAAGTTCTACATATGTCAGAATATCCCATCATGACATACAGTACTGCAGATTTAGACTAACCCTGTAAAGATACAATCATTCCTTCTGAGGCACTGGCAGTACACATGCTCTGCTTTTCAAAATAGCCTCGATTCCTTTTTTCCCCTTCTCTCTTGTTGCTCCCTTTGGACTACATTGTCTTCTCTCCTTCTAGCTATCAAAAATTTATTTATATTTATTTATTTATTTATTTATTTGATTCGTATCCCGCCCATCTGGTCTGGTCGACCACTCTGGGCGGCTTCCAATAAAAATATTTGACATAAATCATACAATATTACAATCGATTAAACACAAAGAATAATAGAACAAAAGAAAGGGGAAAGAAGAGAGAGAAAGTTAAATATTGACAGGAGGGAAGGCCTGAACATATAACCATGTTTTTAATTGACTCTTGAAAGTGCCCAGCGTAGGGGCCGCACGAATCGCCGGAGGAAGGTTATTCCAGAGGTGAGGAGCCACCACTGAGAAGGCCCGGTTTCGTGTCCTTTCCTTCTGGGCCTCCCGCGGCGTTAGGCTCCTCAGCTTCACCTCCTGACTCGTGCAGGTGATCCGAGTAGATCTAGGTGGGAGTAGACGTTCCACCAAGTATCGAGGTCCTAAACCGTTTAGGGCCTTATATGTAAGCATTAACACTTTGAAGTCAATGCGGAAACGGATGGGCAGCCAGTGCAGCACGGCCAGAGTAGGAGAGATATGTTGGTATTTCCTCACTCCGGAGAGGAGTCTGGCCGCAGCATTCTGCACCACCTGAAGTTTCCGCATCAGCTTCAAAGGCAGCCCCACGTAGAGCGCGTTGCAGTGCTCTAATCTAGAGATTACGAGTGCATGTACCAAGGTGGTGAGCGCCCCCGTGTCTAGGTAAGGCCGCAGCCGGGCAATCCGCCCAAGATGGAAAGAGGCGGTGCGGACTACCGACGCCACCTGTGATTCCATGGTGAGCGTTGGGTCCAGGTGTACCCCCAGGCTGCAGACCCCACTCTTCGTCATCAAGTCAATTCTGACTTATGGTGACCCTTTTCAGGGTTCCCTCTTTCCCTCTTCTTCCTCTCAGTGCTGCTGCATGCAGAGAGAAAAAGCAGCTTCCTCGGGGCTGGGGAAGTGAAGAAAATGGAAAAAATGATCTCTCTCTTTTTTTTTACAGAGCAAAGAAATTACATGCTATCCTCTGAAGATGCTGGCCACAGAGACTGGTGAAACGTTACGAAGAACAACCTTCAGAATATGGCCAAAGAGCCCGAAAAACCAACAACCAAAATTACATGCTGCTGCTCAAGAAGGAAGATAAGAGTAGGGTTGTTTTCAGGCTCAGTAATGTGGTGTTGGTGGGAAGAGGACAAGGTACAGGTAGCCTAATCAAAAGGGAAGCGAACAGGAGAAAGGAATTGTGTTTCTTTTTAAAAGAAGAAAGCCACATGCTGCAAGTGTCTAGACTAAGAAGGCAGGATCCAAAAGAGGACCTTTAGCGACTCTGTTTCTTCTTTCTTGAAGTTACCTTGTTTGCTCTACCTAATTAGCCTGGATCCAAATGCACTTTGGATTTTTAAATAAATAAAAAATGTAGATGTTTTTAGGAGGTTTCTCTCTGCCACTCAAAGAATCATGTTGCATAGTCAGATGGGAAAGTGTGGGTAATCCCACTCAACACAGCCATGTCTCCCTTGGAACCATAATTTGGCCTACCCACCTAACTGAGAACAAAGCAGAATTAGCTTCTGCATTGAGTGAGGGAACTTTAAGTCTGGTTTGTACAGTAAATGGATGGTTGGCGAACTTTACACAGTGGAACCTCTATTTACGAATGTACCTACAGTATCTATGAACAATCCAACTTACGAACAGCTCCGTTAACAACATTTTGCTTCTACTTGTGAATGGAGCTTCAACATACGAATGAAAAAAATGTGGGGGTGGCGGGGAAAGCGTGAAATTTGAACATTCAGTTGACTGTTGGCCAGCGAAGAGGGTGCTTGTCTGCAACATCGCTTGTCCAAGCAATTAGAGAGTGGATAGGGAGAGAGTCTTCAGACTGCCTGATATTGCCTGGTACTGTACAGTACTGCCTGGTACTGTACTGTACGGATTATATTTTTTGGCTTTTTTTTTAAAAAAAATTATTTTTGGATTTTTGGCTTTCTTTTTATAAACAGAGAGACTGCTTGTTCTGGGTGAGTACACTGTATTTACTGTATTGTACAGGATTTTTGCAGCTTGGTGGGGGGTAGGGCTAGGTGGGGGTTAAGTTTCTGTGCTCTGATGGGTCTTGCAGTGTAGATTTTAGTTTTAAAATGTGTGTGGTTAAAACATGGCTCTAAATTCTGTTTTAAAATCAGAAAATACAATATTCTATGTGGGGCTGTGGTGGTTGTAGATGCAAGCAGCCAGGCAGGCAGGAAGTTCATAAGTAGAGGTTCCACTGTACAGTATACTGAAGACCTTATATATTAAGCTGCACTTTAATGAGCATCTTCATGC